GAACCGCATCCCAGTCCAGCAGTATGAGAACCTCCCATCTCGATTATCAGTGGAGGCTCTGTGGGGAAAGTGCACCTCCTCCTGGCAGTAAGGAGGTGGCATCCCCTTTTTACCTGCCAGAGGAAACAAGGTAAAATGGAAAATTTAAATAAGATCAATAGTTTCAGAACATAATACCCCAAATGTCCAGGTTTTAGCTAAGAAACAGCCATCACGCCAACAATCAGGAAGATCAAAAAGTGGCAGTCCAAGATCAAAAGCAGGCAATTCATAAATGATAAAGCCAAGATGAAAGAGACATTAGAATTATCTCACAAAGATATTAAAGTCACTGCCATAAAAACAATGTTTCAGTGAGCAACTACTAACATACCAGAAACAATTTTTTTTAAAAAAATAGAAAGTTTCAGAAAAGACATAGAAAGTCTAAGAATTAACTATATAAAGAGAAACCAAGTGAAAATTATTGAATTAGGAAATGTAGTAATTAAAATTTAAAAACTCAATGAATATACTCAACATCAGAGTGGAGAAATGAAATAAGATAATTAGTTTACTTGAAGAGAAAACAATAGAAATTACCCAATAGAGAAAGAAGAAAAGAAAGGAAGGAAAGGAAGGGATCAAGAAAGGAAAGAAGAAAGAAATAAAGAAAAGAAAATAGACTGAGGAAAAAAAAGTTTGGGGATCTGTGGAACCAAACCGAAACATCTAACATTAGTGTCATTTAAGTCCCAGAAGAAGAGGAAATTGTAGGCACTGCAAAAGTACTTGGAGAAATAACATCTGAAAAATTTCCAAATGTGGTGAAAGACACAAACCTAAAGTCTCAAAAACTGAGTGAACTCTGAATAGGATAAATCTAAAGAAAGCCATACCAGAACATATCGCAGTTAAATTTCTAAAAACCAAGACAAGAAAAAAAAAATCTTAAAAACAATGAAAGAGAAATATACTTTACATGTTGGAGAAAACAATTCAAATAGTTGTGGAATTCTCGTGAGAAATCATGAAGGCCAGAGGAAATGACACAATATCTTTCAAGTGTAGAAATAACTGACAACATAGAATCCTTTACTTGGGGAAAATATCTTTCAGGAATGGAGGGGAAATCACAACATTATGAGATGAAGGAAAACAAAGAAAATTGGCTATTGGAAGATGTACCCTAAAAGAATAACTAAAAGAAATTATCTAATCAGAGAAGAAATGACAAAAGAAATAACCTTGGAATATGAGGAAGAAAGAAGACAGTAAGCAAAAACCTGGCTAAATAGACCAGTTCTCTAGAATTTTCTAAATTGTTTGATGGTGAAGGCAAAAATTATAACATTGTCTATTGTTCTAAATGTACGTAGAGAAAATATTTAAGATGATCATATTATAAATGGGGCAGAGGGTAAAATGACATAAAGAAGGTGATGCTTCAATGCTTCACTTGAACTGGTGAAATGAAAACACCAGTAGACTGTGGTAAGTTATAAATAGAAATTGTAATGCCTACAGCAACCACTATAAAAGCTATAGGGAAAGAGATACATTGAAAAACACCACAGTAACTTACAGGGAAAAAAAAGAAAAAGAAAATAGAGAAATGTAAAATCAGAGGTAAAGATTTGATAATCATAAAAGGAAAAGATAATAAACTGGATTTTATCATAATTTGAAAAATATTTTCTATAAATGACAGGGAAGAAATATTTTCAAATAATATATTTGACAAAGGACTAGCATCTAGAATATATGCTAGAAATTTCAAAACTCTAGAGTATAAAAAATACCACAACAAATAATCCAAATAGAAAATTGGCCAATACATGAACATTCAATAAAGATGATACATAGAGGGCAAATAAACCCATAAAAAGATGTTCCACATCACTAGATATTATGTAAATAGAAATAAAAATACCATGAATTATCCCTATACACCTCTCAGAATGACTAAAATAAAAACAAAATAATGACAAACACCAAATTCTGATGAGAATGCAGAGGCGAAATCACTCTTACATTTCTGGAGGGCATGTAAATAGGTACAGGCACTCTAGAAAATAGTTTGCCTTTTAATTTTATTAACATTGTTGGCCTTTAGTTTCAGTAAATTAATTTCAGTTTCAGTACAATGTGGGTGAGAGACAGAAACAGAATTTGACAAGGAGATACTGAAAGTTGAGGTAATGGAGAGGGTGGTCATAGATGTTTTTTCTTTTGAGAAGAATCTATTCATGTATTTTGCCCACTTTTTGATGGGGTTATTTATTTTACTGCTGATTTGAGTTCTTTGTAGATTCTGGACATTAGTCCTTTATCAGATATATAGTTTGTGAATATTTTCTCTCATCCTGTATTTACTCTGTGGATTATTTCCATTGCTGCGCAGAAACATTTTGGTTTAATTAAGTCTCATTTATCTACTTTTGTTGTTCCTGTATTTGCTTTTGGGGTCTTACTCATAAATTCTTTGCCTAGGTCGATATCTAGAGGAGTTTTTCCTAAATTTTCATCTAGAATTTTTATGGTTTCAGGTCTTACATTAATTCTCTAATCTATCTTGAGTTAAATTTTGTACATGGAAAGGGATAGGGATCCAGTTTCATTCTTTTGCATGTGGTTATCTAGTTTTCCCAGCACCATTTATTGAATAAGGAACTACATTTCCCGGTGCATGTTTTTGTCCACTTGATTTTTAAAAATAGGTTGTAGCTCTATGGTTTTATTTCTGGGTTCTCTATTCTGTTCCCTTGGTCTATGTGTCTACTTTTATACCATAACCATGCTGTTTTGGTTATTATAACATTGTAGTATAATTTGAAATCAGGTAATGTGATGCCTCTAGATTTTTTTCTCTTTGCCTAGGATTGCTTTGGCTATTCAGCCTTTTGTGGTTCCATAGAAAGTTTAGGATTTTTTCTAGATCCATGAGAAATGACATTGGAATTTTGATTCCAAGAAGTCTATAAGTCCAGAAAGAGAAAAGAGTTTGGCTGTGAAGATAAAGAGAGACCAACATCTGGAGAAGGATATGGAGATGGTAAATATTCTTTTCATTTCTTTTTTTTATTAGAAAATCTCAACTATGTTTATAAGCTGATGGGAAAAATAAAACAGGGAAACAGGGAAAATGAGAGGTTGATGATTCAGTAGAAAAATAAAGTGAAGATGGAAAAGATGGAAGGAAATGCTACATAGAGAATGTGGTGATGTACCCTTTGCATCTGACAAAGAGGTAAGATGATGTCTCTTTCCTGGCCCTAGAATTACAGGTGGGTTTTCCTTTTTAAGCTAAGAGAAAAGTACTTCCCCTCTGGTCTTCTATTACTTCTGATTACCGTCACTGTAATTTTTTTACTTCATTGAATAAAGAACCTTCCCTTTTCCATTTCTTCTTTACTTCACATAGTTAATGGATCACAGTATACAGTTTTTCTTCCCTGGTAGTTCTGTGTGTCCTTACCTACTTAAGTGGCTACCCCTCTCTCTCATCTCCCAAAAAGACACACAAGCTTTTATCTTTGCCACTGACCTTAAGGAATGAAACAGGGCTTGAAAATTTACGTTTGTCTCTTTTTCTAGAAAACCAGCTCCCTCTTGGTGAGTTGTGGCACCTTAAATGCTGGAATTGTGGGTTAGATAGGTCAAGGTGGTACTTAACTACTTCCTCCATCTCCTGCTAAGAGCACATTGGCTCCCAGAAGAAATCACAAGAACTTTTTTTTTCCTTTCTTGGATTCCTTAGGTTGATTTAACAGTACCCATTTCTCATGTCAGAATACCTACTGTTTGTTCCAAGGAACTTGATTGCTTGCACTGTGAACCTTGTTTTAGGTCAATTACATTAGTAAGGTTAATAAGTTCCAGGCTGGAAGTTCTATGTTGCCCAATCTATACTAATCATAACTCAAAAAAGTTCAAAGCTCACATCAGGGGATGCACACTGCACATTAGCTCCTCCACACCGAGGGTTACAATGCTGTATCATATAATAATTATCATGATGATTATGATGATGATGATAATAATCCTTTATGTTGATGTTGTCCTTTATAATTTTTAAATACTTTCAAATGCATTGTTCCATTTGTACTTATTTGTACTCCCCTATGATGCTGTTTCATTTCAAGAGATCTAGTCAACAGACTGTAAAAAAATTATAATTGCTAAACCCACCTGAAGCATAGTTTCTAAGCTTATCTTGGGTAAGGGATGGATTTTAATTCATAGGCAAAAGGTAAATCACTTATAATCTAGCAAATATTTTAAAACCATACTCGCTAAATACATGTCTTTCTAAAATATAATGCTAATAGATTGCTTAAAACCCATCAGTGGCTCCCCTTACTTGCTCAATATCAACTGATTATTTTGGTATTTGAATATTTCCACATTTGTTTACTCCCTACTTTTCTAGGTTTATCTCCATTCTTCCCATATACTCATTCCTATCCTCAAATGCAGGCATGCTAGTAGTTCTTTGAGCTGCTGTCCTCATTATTTATTTCATTTCCCTTGGCAGAAAAAGAAAGAAAGGAAAAGAATAAAAGAAAGAATAGAAAAAAGAAACTTAAAAGAGTAGAAAGGAAAGAAGGGAGGAAGGAATCATTTCTCAGTAACCTTAACATTCTTACCTTCCAATTATTTCAAACTACACAGAGAATAACCACATGATGGTTGTCTTAGTCACTCTTCTCGCAATGACTAAGAACTCTTCATAAATTCATTGCCCAACTTTCAAAGGGGTCTGTCTGTGGGAATGGCACAAGTACACTTAAAAGTCAGCTATTTTGAGAATATTCAAGAATACTTTCCAAGGCACTTTCAAATCCTCAGGATCAGCATTCTACAAGTGTTGCCACATGCTGCTGACTTCATATTCAGTGGGCCAAAGACTTCCCTAGCTTTCAATCAAAACACACGCATGTCCTGTAATAACTTGCCTTTTACACCAGACTTTTCTAATTATGTTTTCCCTCCAGTCTCCAGAAGTTCAGGTGACCTACCTCATTGATGTCTTTTTTCCTTTGGTCATAGCTCCTTCTGGGTTGAGTATATGTTTCAGGGGAATACAAACTTTCTGTAAATAACCAGAGAGTAAACATATTAGCCTTTGAGGTCCACACAGCTTCTGTCACAGCTACTCAGCCCAGCTTCGTAGCATGGAAGCAGCCATTGACAATGCACACACAAATGAGTGTGGCAGTGATCCAATAAAATTTTATTTACAAACAGTAAAACTTGAATTGCATATAATTTTCATGTGTCAAAAACATTATTCTTGTTTTCCCAAGCCCTTTGAAAATTGCAAAAATCATTTATTTGAAGTGTTCCCAGATCTTCAAAAAACAGCAGCAGGATGACTTTGGCTTGTGGGCTATATTTTTTCCAATCCCTGTAATAACCACACATCTGACTTATTTTTCATGCAGAACAATCACAAGTATAAGAACTGAAATTTAAATTCAAAATTTCAACATTTCCTTATGAAGGCTTTTCAGATGAAAGATACAGTTTTAGGATAGTGACTATATATAAAAATAGTTAATTTAACTTAGTGTCTTAAATGGGTATATAATAAATGATTTGAATGTGGCTACCTCTAAAAGATCTCTTGAGAGAAATGGGAATTCTCATTACAGTGCAGAAAAGTGTATATAATGGTTAAACTTCTATATCATTTGGTCCAAATTATTTGTTTTATGGAGTTGGAATTCAATATTCAAAGAAGATACATGGCTTCCCCAATGCAGAGGTAGCTTATGTTGAAAATGAAAACTTTTGACTTCTAGGATTTACCTAGAAGGATTCTTCTAGGATTTATCATTTTTTTCTAAATGGTCCAGATATCACTATCCATCAAGATGACAGAAATAAGAGTCCATTGATGGAACAATGGATTGATGACAACTCTGAATTATACTACTGCCCTAAATACTAGTGTAATCACTACAGGATGGAACGTAGCTTAAGAGTGGAACATAATTGAGAAATTATGGCATCATCTTTATTATTATCATTATTATTTTACTAATATGCTGTTTTTTTCCTGTGGAAAGAATATCTAATTCAAAGACCTAATGCACATTGCTAATAAGTAAAGATAGCAAATTTATGTATACAGTGTGGGCTATATATTTTCCAGTGGCCCCTCTGGGTCATCACTGAATTCTGCAAAGCTGATTTCTATGACCTACATCCCCAGTGCTACCTTCCAATCCAGGCTCCAGTTGGATTTAGACAACAGGAGGCACAAAACATATAGTGGAGAGAGAGAGAATAAAAGAATCACAACATTTTTTAATATAGTGCCCTCATACTAACTTCAGTGTGGTAATCATTATTTTCTTCCACCTCAGGCCATAGCCCCTTTCCCATTATTAACCTGGTCTTAAAATAGCTCTGTAGGAAACAGTGTTCTCCAAAGAAACATAACCAGTAGGATATGGCATAAATGGAGGTTAGCCTTAGTCTCTACCTCAGTTGTATAAAGCTTTAGGATTAGATTATTAACTAGGTATAGGTATACTGAATCAGAGATCACAGTATTTATATCTATAAAACTCTGCCTTCTCTCTTATCAGTGATGTTGTCATAGCATTTGCTTTCCATTCAAAGGATCTTATCTTTGTTGCCTACAAAATATCTGAGTTATCTATACACATTGTGAAGGTCACCAAGAATAGTCTTGTGAAGATAATATTTGGTTCAGGAAAACCTCTTTAGCGCTAGTCAAAATTGAGCTAAGCCAGGCCCCTTTGGGTGTCAGATATTTTTGGAATTGTGTCTTTTTTTATTTTTCAAGTTATTTGATCACAAGGTGGTGATGAGTAACAAAGGTATGAAATGGGAAAGCTATAATTTTTCCAAGCGTGCCTTTCATCATTTTTCAGATGAACAGTTATAATAATGATGTAAATATGGAGTATAGGTAGAGAAGTAGGCATATGTGATTATGAGTATCAAAAATGAATAAATCTCTAACTTGTTGGTCACCTTAATGTCTGTCTGCACACACACATGCACACAAGTGGAATACAAGAATTACAGATCTGACTTCAAGAATTTTAATTGTCTGACTTTCCTTTGAGAGTTTTTCATATTTTCCTTGCTTTTCATGAGTTTGATAGTTTTAAGCATTGTTGGTCAGGTATTTAGTAAAATATTCTTCAATTTGGGTTCATCTGATTTTTTTTTTTTTTTTTGGTTATACTTAGACTGAAGTTATTTGTTTTGGGGAAGAATATCACAGAAGTGAAGTGTTTTTCTTATCACATTATATCAAAGGTATATACTATCACTATGATGTATTACAAATGACGTTAATATAATGCATTATACATAAATGAGCTAGTTTTTCCAGATCTCTCCACTATAAAGTTACTTCTTCACCCCTCCACCTGCTTTCCATACTGTGCTCCTGAGAGCAAGTCACTAACTAAATGCAGATCATGCTCGGGGAGGGGGAGGCGGGAGGGATTTCCCTGGAATTTTGAGCAGCAAAAACAGTGCAAGCCCCCAGATATGGGGATCATCCTTCCCACCATGGGGAGAAAGAGTCTGTGAGATACTGAGGCAAACACCCAGGAAAGTGGAACAGAGGGATGAAGCCAGGCATGGATTCTTGAGAAGAGCATTTAGATTGCAAAAAAACTGAATCAGAGTGATTCCTTAACTTTCGCCTGGGTGAGATTATAAAATTCTTCTTAACGTCTCACTTAATCTTATTGGAATGGCCTCTCCATCATAGCTGGTGTATTTGCTGTCCACTTTTTCCTGCCCTTCCTCCCCTTTATAACGCCATTGCAAACAAGGAAGGAAGACAATTCTTACGGCACTAACACTCTTCCACAGAAAATCAGCCTGAGATCTTTTCTTTTTAAATGAGATCCAGTAAGTTTTATTTTGAAATTTAAGCCAATTTTTGTTCACTTATCAACGCACAAAGTAGATATATACAATATTATTTTATCCAAAATTTAGTTTACAATTTCTGGTGCCATCCAGATAGATATATGTTGTGCTAATAAAGAAAAACTAAATTAAGATGATTTGAGAAAAGTACTCTACAGAGTACCTTTGAGTGTTCATTAATTCTACTGGCTATGACTAAACAGGAGGCTTAAGATGAACTCTCTTTATCATCTCAGGAAAATACATTCATAATTACAGGGCTATACTCAGAAAGTAACTTTTGGTGTCCTCCCCACATTCTAAGCTGGAATTGCCACAGACAATTGGCAGGACTATCTTCATGTTTTCTATGACTTTATGAATATAATAATGAATATAATGAATTTAGGAAAACCTGTAGCTCATAGTTAATGTTTCATGACTAGTAGCATAACTCTTACAGCCTAACTGAATTTCTTTGATAATTTGTAAAACTACTTATTAGCCTAAAATACATTGACAAAGGTAACTGCGACTGTTTTAACTGGGCTTACTTAATATGAAACTGTTGAGATCGGTTGGTTAGCTAACATGCATTCTATATTTGGTTTCCGTTTTGTTCTTTTTATTTTCCTGAGCATAGATGATTACACGGTGGCTCATGGGTGAATGCATAATTTCTAGGTGTTCCTCCTCAACTTACTTTCCAAGTGAAAAACAATGTATTCGAAAACAAGTAAGACTGGCGATATAATAGAGGCAACTTTGTATCTCCTTCCCCATTCTCTCCACTTGGGCAGCAGGTAACATGGATTAGATTAATCACAGTCCTCATGTCATGCCACATGGTTACAACTGGTCCTTTCAAAGCCCCTTTATTTTATTCACTTCCCTTTTATTCATATATATCACCCTAGTTCTTCAATTATTCTTGAATAGACAATTTTTTTTAATGTGCTTAATGTGTCCCTTTTGTTTGTATGCACTCTTACATGATGTAGAGGATTATTGGAAATGTATATATTTTAAGTTTTTATCATGAAAAAATTTCCAACATATTCAAAAGTAGAGAAAATGGTGTCATGCACCCCTATGTATCCATCACCAACAAACAACAATTATCGAATTATCATCATCCTTGTATAATCTATGCTGCCATAGAATTCACACCCAGCTATTGGCTTATTTTAAAGCAAATTCTATGTATCATAGATATTTTATCTATAAATACTTTAGTATGTATCTTCTAAAGGACTCTTATTAAAGACATAATCATAATACCATTATCACCAAACTTTAAACCAAAAAATAACAGTAATTCCTTGATACCAGAAAATATCCAGTATTGACATTTTGCTGATAGTCATATATATTTATAGTCGATTTGTTCTAAACTAAATCCAAACAAGGCCCACTATTACACTTTGATTTTTCCCTTTATTTTCTTTAAATCAAGAATTATTCCTCCTCTTTTCCCCTTTGTAATTAACTTTTTTTATGAAACTGAATTGTTTGTCCAGCAAATTCCCCACATTCTGGATTTTGCTGTTTGCTTCTTCGCATTCAATATATCTCCCTGCACAAAAAATCAGAGGTTCAATTTCTTTGGAAAAATAAATATATGCTGTTTCATAATTTCATTTGTAGTGACATCTCTTTTTAATATATTAGTCCCCATTGATGATGATTACCTAGAGTCATTATTTGTATTTGTAAAATATTAATAATTATATAGTTTCTTCATTTATTAGCTGGGTGTGTCCACAGAGAAAAAAATTTCCTTATGAATGATAAGGTTACTCTAAGATGCTTTTTAAATAGAGAAAGCGGCCAGGCGTGGTGGCTCACGCCTGTAATCCTAGCACTCTGGGAGGCCGAGGCGGGTGGATTGCTCGAGGTCGGGAGTTCGAAACCAGCCTAAGCAAGAGCGAGACTCCGTCTCTACTATAAATGGAAAGAAATTAATTGGCCAACTAATTATGTAGAAAAGAAATTAATTGGCCAACTAATTATGTAGAAAAAATTAGCCGGGCATGGTGGCACATGCCTGTAGTCCCAGCTACTTGGGAGGCTGAAGCAGGAGGATTGCTTGAGCCCCGGAGTTTGAGGTTCTGTGAGCTAGGCTGACACCATGGCACTCACTCTAGCCTGGGCGACAAAGTGAGACTCTGTCTCAAAA